AACAACTGACCACATAAGGATTCAAGATTTTAGTTGCTAAAACCAACTCTTTCATCTTATATTTACCTACAGGTATAAAGTCAGATGGACAGGGAAGCCTGGCGTGCTGCAGTCCACAGGGTCACAAAGTCAGACACAACTGAGTGAACAACAGCAATGAAGTCAGACATCTAAAGTGAGAGGCTGCCTCTTATCTCTAAACCCAAGCAACAGGCAGCTAAAGACTGAAGGAACAGTCAGGCCTGGGCCCCAGAGATAAAACTCAAGAGTGTTGTTTTTGAGGTGTCCTATAGGCAACTTGCCAGAATCTACACGTGAATAACTTGGGGGTTGAACTTGGCCTCCCTTCTCTGATAGGAGATAGCAATGAGATGATCTGCTTTAGATTTTGGAAAACAGACAAAACAGTCAAACTAAAGCTCCTAGGACAAACATATTCTCTGCTGTAAGTTTTAGATTTCAAAGGGGTTGTTCTCATTCCTAACTGCATAACATAAATCACCTGCAGAAACTTATAAAACAACTATGGATGTCAGGGCCCAATCTAGACGTAAAGAATCAGAAAAAATTGCTAGAGAACATTCCCACACATCCTTACTTTAAAAAAAAAAAAAAAGGTCCTTAGTAGATTCTAATGCACACCCAGAGCTGAGAACTGCCAAAAACTACCGTCGAGACACATTCCAAACCATTAGACCATTAGTTAAATGGCTCAAATTCAGCACTCAGGATCCCAGAGTCAACAAGAGACTTGAAAACTTAATCCAGTGTGTCTCAGCTGTTTCACATTTCCTTCCGAGAAAGGTCTCTCCAGGTAAAAGGAAGCATATCTCAGTCTCTTCCCCATTACCAAATCACAGCCCATAAATTTTTCAGTGAAAAAAATTGGCATCATCAACATTTCTAGTTGTAGTTGTAACAAGTGGCACAACCTAGAGGTCAGAATACCAGCCAGGAAGTTTCTGCTGCTGATTCATACTGTAGCCACAAGTAAATTGCTTATCCATCATCCAGAGTGGTTGACAAGCACCTCCAGAGGGGCAGGATATGGTTTACCACAGAATCAACTGATAACAAACTGACTCCAGCTGAAATTAGTCATTCTGAATGAAAGGAAGGGGGCGGGGCAGTATCAAGAATATGCATATGCCAGTAAGTTACATGCTTGTTAAGTGAATTTATACAAAGTGTATTCAGGAATACTGCCTGGGACTTCCTAGGAATTTACTTGGACAAGTACTCTAACTAAGCCCTGGTTTTCTTATCAGTTAAAATAGGGTTAATCCTTTGTCCTCCCTCCTCACTGGGTCATAAGGATTAAGAGAAAATTTCTGTAAAATGCCTACCATGGTGGCTGGCACACAGTTGCTACTATCATTTGAAAGTCTACTATTTTTTTTCCCCAAAAGCCTACTGTTGCAGCTTGCAAACTCATGTAACTTCCCTAAATGGTGTTTATTGAAGGTTTCAAGTCACCTCAATTTTTAAATCCATCTAAACCTCCAGGTCCATTTACAGCTCAAAGGCTTTCTTCAAGGTAGATTACCACCAGTCACCCGGCTTCTGGTACCAGAACAAGAGGAAGAGGGTCAGGACAGCGCTTCATATTGCCAACCTCAAAATAACTGCTTCATAATACCTGACCTTCCTTTAACCTCCATGGCAGTACCATCCCCCACCCAAGAGGATGAAGCAAGAACCTGGTTCTGGGCCAGGGTCCATTGTTTGCCCATAAACATCCGGGTCTCTCTAGCCTCTTTTTGCTTTCTTTACTCTTCTAAACAACCTTCCCCAAACTCTAACCCACCTCTCTCCTCTGAGCTACATCCTGGGATATTCACTGCTGAATGTTCTTAGAACTACATCTTAACCCTACTGGAACAAAACTGTAGGAAGAGAGCCAAGAAAAGAAGGATCATGTGGCTGCTTGAAGCAATTAATCAAAGCAAAGAAACTGGTATGCCAATCTGGCCGGAAAGATCAAGTAAATCCTGGTAGCCCAATTGACTTATTTCCTGTGTGCATGAAAAATAAACTTAAGCCAACTGCAGGAACAAAACCTCAAGTATATTAATCATGTAACTAGGAAGCAAATAACCATTTAGGACACGCATGGTTTAGAGACTAGAAACCAAAGGTTTTTTTCTCATGGGAAGCAGAGAAAGGGAAGCGGAAAAGGGAATTAAATAGTTAAAAACTGAAAAACTTGTTACTTTGGTGACAGAAAGACAAGTTATGTCTTTTCACCTTTTCCTGTTCTTCCTTCAGCTTAGTACTCTTAAACTCAAGAGGTCCTTTCAACAATTTCCAGCTGAATCAAGAACATCAAGTGTTGAGTCAGCTTTTGAAATCCTACAGAAATCCTTTTATGGAATTATGCCGAATTTGAATCTAGTGTTTTGTTAGAGTGGCCACCTAGAAGTCACTGAGTAAGAGGTGCTTAGTGGTATCTGCCGTGGTAGCACTGGTCTGAGCTGTACTGTTCTTAAAGCAGAATATGCTATGAAGAATTCTATTTAGCTACAAACCTATCCTTCCTTTTTGCTAAGGGAATATATTAATAAATAACAGTAGTCAGAAAAGTAGGCAATAGCAATGGCAAACATTCAAGCTCTCTCACAAAGACATTAAACAAAAACTAATGCTACAAGGGACGCCTGTGTATTGCATAAAACCCAGCAAAGAACTCCTTGAACTGAGTTTCTACTTCTTTCCTCAGCAGCTTTCAATTAATAGAATGAATAGTGTTTTAAGAGTATTTTATAGAGTGTTTTGGGTTTTTTTTTGGGGGGGGGGGGGGCAGTTTTTTGGTTTTTGGCCGTGCCACACGGCATGCAGGATCTTAGTTCCCAGAGCAGGGATCAAATCCGTGCCCCTGCAGTGGAAGCAATGTCTTAACCACTGGACAGTCAGGGAAGTCCCTTTATGTATTTGTTAAAAAAAAAAAAATTCACTTTAGTCAGAATGAACCCAACAACTTATATTTACTCTGTACAAGTCTGACAAATACCTGCTTTGGTCAAACCACAACAGAACTGTTCTCATCCTATTGGTTAAGGACAACTGCACGAGTCAACAGTCACAAAGTCAGAGATCACATGAGGGAAATGCCTTACATGCCTCAGTATTTTGTTGCTATTTTGTCAAAGTGAAAGTGAAGTCGCTCAGTCCTGTCTGACTCTTTGCGACCCCATGGACTGCAGCCTACCAGGCTCCTCTGTCCATGGGATTTTCCAGGCAAGGGTACTGGAGTGGGTTGCCATTTCCTTGTCCAATTTACTTTATCTAGGTTCTGGCAAACTTTCACCTGCCACCTCACAGAACAGTAGAACAACTTCAGGCATTTACTGCAACTGACTCATGACCTTATGTTAGTGGCTTAAACAGGAGCCCCCCGAAAAATTAGCTGAGAATTCAGACAGCTAGAGAACCAGAATCTTTAACATCTACGAACAGAATGCAAAAGTAATTTATCAACTACAGTGACCACTCACTCTAAACCAGCTCCAACATGGGCCAAGAGGACTGGCAAATCTCTAGATCTTAGGGGATCTGTGATAAACCTATACATGTGCAAAATTCCAAAAGTAGTCTCCATAATACTGGCCTGAGAGTCTACTCTAATCTCTGCTTAAGATATTAAAAGCATTCATTTCTTATCAAGACAACTGGTTTCCACCTGAGTTCCAAAAGCAAGCTCTAGAAACCCTCAACATACAGGGTAAACAAGTTCGCTCTATCGAGTGGATTAACTCTGAACCAAAGTCAACATTATGGCTGTTTATGTGGTTTCTAAGTTAGCTCTGCAGTTTTCTTAATCTTTTTACGCTTTAAACAACTGGAGTTCCACATTTCAGGGCTCCAAATGTTCCCCTCTCTGCCATACATCTCCCCTATTCCCACGGAAAGCATTTACCTATTACTGCTAATATAATCAGAAATACAAAAGAACAGAGACAAGTGTCTCTGCCTTTGAAGTAAGGCAGAGAATATTCAACTCCAGACTGCCAACTCCTGAACTCCTGGCCTCTCACATTTTTCCTTCTTTAGATGTGAACAATTCCATCCTGCTGGACAGGTTAGTGACTGGAGTATTGGAAAAAAAACAAGTAAAAGTGTAGTCCAGTACTTGGCACATGGTAAGCCCTCAATAAATGGTAGCTATAACCATCATGATGGTCGAAATTCAATATTGAGAGAGACATGGTCTCAGAAATGACAAAATCTTTCCCATAAAAGGACACAACTCTAGCCTAACAGGTTGTGTCCATGTATATTTGGTGCCTAACAGGTGTCAGCTACTCTCCTGAGCCATCAGTTAGTTCATTTGTTTGCTAATTTATTTTCTCACCATCTCCAACTTACAGGTAAGAAAACTGAGACATTCATTCAAGGTCTAAACCTAAAAAGACTGAATCCAGAGCCTGTGCTCTTAACTCCTACTCCACACTAAACAAAGCCATTCCAAGATGAGTCCTCTTCGTCTGAGTGGATCTGGGGTCAAGTTATTCCACACGAAAATTTGAGTTTAAAAAAAAAAAAAAAGAAAATTTGAGTTTAACAAATATTTAGGCCAGCCTCCTCTGTTTATACTTGAATACTATTCAATGCTAACTCAACATTAAAGGGTAGATCAACTTAGTGGTTTTAGGAGCGTACACTGATGCGTCAGGCAAACCGGTCTTCGGGCCTGGCTGCACAGACTAGCTGGGTGACCTGACCTTTTCTGAACCTCAGTTTACACATACGCAAAATGGGAACAGAAACAGCAACTACTTCCCCGAGGTGTTTACAACTTTAATGCAAGGATTTATGTAAACCAGGCAGTTCTCATTAGTGTTAACTGCAAGTAATGGAAGCCATGGAAAAGAGATCAGAACAGTAGAAAGCGGAGCCTGTCCCTGGGTGACCCAGCAGACATCCGAGGAAGGATTCCGCACCCCCACCCCGCATTAGGGGCAGTCGCCCCCGCCCCCACCGTCGTGGGAACCCGCCCTTACCGCTCTTGGGTTTAGACTCGCCGGCCGGCCCGGCCGAGGCAGAGCGAGGCGGCTGTTGCCCTTTGCTGCTGCCCGAAGAGGCGGAGGAGCTGCTGGAGCCGCTGTTCTTGTCCATGTCGGAGGCGGTGGCGGCGGCGCTGGGAGAGCTCTGCGGCATCAACGGGGGCCTTGGCGGCAGCGGCGGTCGGAGCGGAGCGGGCGCGGCGGGGACCCAGGCTCATGGCGTTCGGGGCCGGCGGGGGTCGGCGGCGGCAGCGGTTCTCGGCCTTCATGGCGACATTTTTCCCTGTTTCCTTTCTCGGCTTCTCAAACTGGAAGGAGAAGCGGCTGGAGGGGCTGTTGAGCCCGACGGCGGCGGTAACCAAGAAGGAGAAGGAGGCCGGGGCTCGGAGGTCCGGGCCGGGCCTGGCGGGGCGGAGGCTACGGGGGAAGGGGAGGCGAGGAGGGAGGGTGCGCGAGCCCCGCCGGCCGGCCGGACACGCTCTCCCGCCGCGGGGCAGCGGAGAGGGCTGGCTGTCTTGGTGTCGGGGACAGGTGTCTCCGACACAGCGACCGACACTCGCCTCTAAGCCGAGGCCGAGCTGCTCCGGGAATGGCGACGAGTCGCCAAACAGCATCTCGAAGAACCCGGATGGACTATATATACAGTGGAGGTGTGAGAGCGAAGCATGCTGGGAGATGTAGTTTTCTGTCTACATCCGGGTCCAGTGACTTTTTTTTTTCCTTCCTCAATGTGTGAGAGAGCTTACAGAGTGATTGGACTTGCAGTCCAGGTTTTAGTCTTATTACAGTAATGCACGTAATAATAATATAAACTACTAATCAGTTCAGTTCAGTCGTTCAGTCGTGTCCGACTCTTTGCGACCCCATGGGCTATAGCATGCCAGGCTTTCCTGTCCATCACCAACTCCCGGAGCTTGCTCAAACTCGTGTCCATCCAGTCGGTGATGCCATCCAACCATCTCATCCTCTGTCGTCCCCTTCTCCTCCTGCCTTCAATCTTTCCCAACATCAGGGGCTTTTCTAATGAGTCAGTTCTTTGCATCAGGTGGCCCAAGTATTGCAGCTTCAGCTTCAGCATCAGGCCTTATAATAATGCATCCAAACATCGGACTACCGTGGAATTCCTTTACTGACTCATTATTTTATAGTTCTTATTCTAATATTAATATCAATTTATTTATGGCTCTTATTCAATCTCCCAATAATAATGATAATAGTGACAATAATGACAATACATTTAATATCACTTCCTTATACAATTACTTCATTTTATTGTTGTCACTTATTAATATAAATCATTGTTAATATTTCATTTCGTTGTTAATAATAATAGTTATCCAACTCTTTGGAACCCCATGGACTGTAGCCTACCAGGCTCCTCTGTCCATGGGATTTTCCAGGCAAGAGTACTGGAGTGGGTTGCCATTTCCTTCTCTAAGGGATCTTCCTAACACAGGGACTGAACCCGGGTCTCCCTCATTGCAGGCAGACACCTTACCATCTGAGCCACCAGGGAAGCCCTAATAGTTATCACTGAGTGCTTATTATTAGCAGACACTGCTCTATGCAGTTTACATGAAGTATCACATCTCACAATAACTCAAACTTAAAGATGAAGAAATGGGATCACACAGCTAATAAGTGATGTTCTCAACTACCTGTAAGATAAGCAGTTCTCCCTTTTACAGATAAGGACATTGAGACTTAGAAAATTATATAGGTATTTTAGAAATCATATGACACCCACCCATACTTTGAAACATTATAAATGACTCCTTCCAACCATAGCAGTTTGAGATTCAAAGGATCACAGAAAAACACTGTGAAAAAGATAAATAATTCTTATAACAGTAAATAAGGTTAACCTTAGCTAGTTAGAAACCTATTATATGCCAGGCACTGTGCTGAGAACAAAGAATTCCAAAATACATTAATGGGAGAATGTGATAAGGACTATAATAAAGTTAACACAAAATGCTGACCAGAGGAGAGGCCTGAAGGAGAGAAGTACAAAAAGTTAGGAATAAAGGAGGACCTCCCCAGAGGTGATGTTAGTTGAGCTGAGCATAGAAAGATGAGTGGAATTTTGGCAGTCATACATGAACAAATAAATAAACAGACAAAATCCTAGACATCACCTAATTAGGCCTTTTGGGGTTTCTTTTTAATCATCATATGTTATACAAAACATTAATAAGTATATAGAAGTCAATTTCTTGAACTTGACAGTTTTAGCTGGGATAAAAGAAATTAGATACTAATCTCATATATTTTAACGTTTCTTAAATGCCCTCTACCAGTCCTTATCTTGTTTTTTCTTTTCCAGTCCCCCCCCCCACAAATCATACTGAAATGAGAGAATGGCTACATAATGCATCAAATTAAGTCTGAGGCTGTTGCTGCTAAGTCGCTTCAGTCCGACTCTGTGCAACCCCATAGACGACAGCCCACCAGGCTCCCCCGTCCCTGGGATTCTCCAGGCAAGAACACTGGAGTGGGTTGCCATTTCCTCCTCCAAGGCATGAAAGTAAAAAGTGAAAATGAAGTCGCTCAGTCGTGTCCGACTCTTAGTGACCCATGAACTGCAGCCCACCAGGCTCCTCCGTCCATGGGATTTTCCAGGCAAGAGTACAGGAGTGGGGTGCCATTGCCTTCTCCGCAAATTAAGTCTAGAAAATCCTAAAAGTCCATTTTTATGTATGACTAGATTTGGAAGATACACTAAGTTTCCTGGGTGATTTTTTATTTCCTTTAACAAAGGTGTGGGAACTCTGATGACAGGGGTAAATCATTTCTTTCTTCTATCACTCTTAAAAGTGAGAAAAAGAGAGAAAGCCCCATGCAGTTCTTCCAAAATAAGCAGTAGGTGTCCATCTGTTAGGCTACATTAAGCCAAGAAAAGATTTTCCACTTTCAAAGTAGTTTCTTAGGGGCCTTGGCACTTTCTGCTTGTGAAACATTTACAGGAAACATACATTTACAGAGAAGTAAAGCAGAAACACACAGAAATCCAAATAAAACTCACCACCTCTATCCTCTTTTCCACAAGATGGTCTATGTTACCCTTTCCATAGAAAATAATGGGAAAGTCTGAGGTTAAAAGTAAAGCACTCATTCTGTGCCAGCTGGAGCTAGAAATGTAGCTTTGTGATAGTAGGAGACAGGCTGAATGGTGCTTGGTTGTGACTTACTAAATAGATACCAGAAGGACTTCCCTGGTGGTCCAGTGGTTAAGAATCCAGCTTCCATTGCAGGTGGCACAGATTGGATCCCTGGTCCAGGAACTAAGATCCTGCGTGCTGCAGGGCATAGCCAAAAAGTAAATAAATAAAAGTAAGTTAAATTCATACCAGAGCTTTCCTTCCCATTTATGAACTTCCTAGGTTCATAAGATGGAAAGACCAAAGAACTGTCTTTCCTATGTCTATCATTCAGAGTAATCTAGCATATGTTTCTCAAGATTATTCTGCACATCCCTCTCATACAAATCACCAGAGAATTTTAATCAAAGAGATTCCTAGAATCCATTCCCAGTGTCATTTACTGATTCAAAAGCTCCGTTTGCCCTCTTCCGCACCGGAAAAAGGGAGCTACTTGGTATCTCCGGAGTTAGTACTACCGATAAGAGATTCCCTGATGGCTCAGATGGTAAAGAATCCGCCTGTAATACAGGAGACGCAAGAGACGCGGATTCGATCCGGACATGTAAGAGATGGGGGTTTGATCCCTGGATTGGGAAGATCCCCTGGAGAAGGGAATGGCTAGCCACTCCAGTATTCTCGCCTGGAGAATTCCACAGAGGAGCCTGGCGGGCTACAGTCCGTGGGATCGCAAGGTCGAACACGACTGAGCGACACGAACACCATACAGATGGGCAGGATTCAGAGACCTGGTGTCTACCAGGTGACCGGAGGCTCTCCCTAAGGTCCGCTGATTCCTTGTGAATTCTATATTTAATTTGAAGACAGAGAAAAAGGGATTTCGCGTACTCAAAAGACGAAATAGCCTCAGGATCCCAGAGATCCTGCAGAGCTGCTTAACATCACGTTTCAAGACGCGTTCAGCTAATAGTGTCTCCGGTCGGCCGCCGTCAGCCGTTTAGCGATGCAACGCTACGTCCTGTCTGACAGCGGTCACCCGACTGTCAAGATGGCAGCCCTCGGGAGCTGGGCTCTATGGAGCTTCTGCAGCCGTGGGTGGTCGCGGGCAGTGTCGGGCTGCAGGCTCCCCGGGCTTCGTAGCTCCTCGCCCAGGGGCCCCCTGGGTGCACGGCTCTTGTCCCAAGAGAAGCAGGCAACCGAAACGCACTTCGGGTTTGAGACTGTGTCGGAAGAGGAGAAGGGGGGCAAAGGTGAAAGGAGTGAGAGGGTGAATGGGGAGGATCTGACTGTCTACGATCTAGTTTCTTCTGCCCAAACCAAGGGTTGATTTGACGTCCTGTGAGCTCCGCTGAGGGGCTTCCCAGGTGGCGCTAGTGGTAAAGAATCCACTGGGTCGGGAAGATCCCCTGGAGGAGGGTAGGGCAACCCACTCCAGTATTATTGTCTGGAGAATCCCCGTGGGCAGAGGAGCCTGGTAGGCGGACACGACTACTTCAAGCCACTTAGCACGCACGCACGCGCCTCTGATGCATTAACTTGTGCAGTCCTGACCTCCAAGGAGTACCCTTAGTCTGTCTCTGCCAAACTTAGAGCCTCCTCTTTTCAAGTAATTATCACAGAACCCCATCAGTTGAGCATTTATGATGTGCCAAGCAGAGTGCAGACATTATTTACAATTCTCATTTCAACTTCCTGATGGTGAGTATTGTTATTCCATCTTACTCATGAGGAAATAGAGACTTAAAGGTTAAGCAAAACCTTGCCCAGTTTAACATAGTAAGTGGTGGCACTAACCCAGTTCCGTCTGACTACTGAGCCCATATTGCTAATCTCTTGCTACAGGGATAGGCCGTCTTTTATAGAAAGAAAGAAGGAAACTATTTTCTGTTAATATGTGCCTCAGCTTCCAAATTTGCCAGATAGGGAAGATAATAATTTCTTTCATAGAGTTCTTGTGAAGATTACGTTACTTCATACACTGAAGAATTTTGAATAATGCCTGGCACTTCATAATTGCTCAATAAGTGTTAGATATTGTTCAGCACTTTTTTGTGTTCACCATAAGACTTGGGAAAGGAAAAGACCTGTTTTAAAATTCCAGCTGTACCATTTGTAATGAGAAAGGTATTATGCTCACATTACAGATGGATAAGGTGAGGCTCTGAGAGGTTTCTTAACTTGGCCTGTAGTCACCCAGGAAATAAGAAAAGAGCCTACCATTGAATTTTTTATCCTCTTATAGGCTAGTATATTGTATTACCTTTTACCTCAACCTTACTAAATACATAGCTCTACTATAACTCCTTGAATATCAAATTTAAATTAACACATTTCATTGTGAATCCCCAGAAAGTTAAGACTCATTCATAACTGTGTTCTCAGCATCTGATGCACATTAGGAGCTTGATAACTGGTTGTGGGGTGAAATAAGTGGAGCCAGGTAAAATGATAGTAAACTCCATAAGTTCATCTTCCCAGAGTTCCTGTGGCTGCAATTTCAAAATGTCTGGGGTGGCAGTATCGACATCCCCATGGTCATGTTTCTCCTATGATTCCATTGACATTCTGTTCAAATTTCACCTCCAAGTTTATCCCTTTTCATTATTTTGTTGCACTTTCATTTTTGTAGTCCAGTTCCCTCTTTCAATTATCTAGTTTTGTAAAATGCCACAGAGAGTCACAACTGAGATCAGAAGGTAACACACACAGCTACATGCTTTGCTGTCTGCATGTGAATAAGGGATGTATCGTGACCAACCCCCTACAAACTGTGAGAGAAGTGATGTAATTGGTTTCTGATCATGATGCATATCTGTTATTTATGCATGATTTGTGGAATGAAGGGCTACTATTAAGATTTGTACTTTATGCAATTACTCACAGTTAATATACCATTGTATTTGAATGATGTTGCTAGAGGACTGGTGTTAGTGAACTAAACCACAATAACTGAAATTCTTGCATATTAGAACCACATAAAGCAAGAAGGGCTTATACTCAGTGGGTTGAGCCTCAGTGTCCCTCTAAATATCCCAGATGTTCAAAAGCAAAGAGCAAGCTTATAGGATCCCAGGGTTGAGAATAGATGTTCAAAATTGAATAAAAGGAGGAGGGCTCTATTGTCTGCTGATTCAGCAGAGGACAGTAATGTTTTGGGTCTTAGCAGCACATTTCATCTGAGGAACTCAACATATCTCCACTTCTTTACCAGATTCAGTCCTTTTGGCAGGTAGGTAGGAGGCTCGCACTGATATTGTTATCTCATGAACAGAAATGGAGATAACAAAGAAGTTAAATGTAGCCTGTGCTTTGAAGCATCTTTGATAGTAAATTCCTTAACTCTTCAGCCAGTCCATATTCTACATTCTTCCTTGGTCCTGTGGAGAGTCACGAGAACCCGCTACAATTCAACTTGGCCCTGACTCACATCCTACCATTCATCTGCCCACCAAGTTGAACCTGAGGTTTTTCTCAGTGACACAGGCAGAGATGAGCTGAGGTGTTCCCATTCATTTTTCATGTCTTTCTAATGGATTTTGTTGTCTTTAATTATGATACTGTTAGAAAAATTCCAATCCCCCTGCCCCTTCCTCTAAGAAATGGAAACTGGGGAACTCCCTGGCGGTCCAGTGGTTAGGACTCGGCTTGGGTCTGATCCTTGGTTAAGGAACTAAGATCCCGCAAGCCATGCAGTGTGGCCAAAAAAGAAAGCGATTTACTACTAAGTATGTGCATGGCATTATTGCAAGGTAATGTGAAGCTATGTGAAGCTAAGATAACAGAAAATAGGTTGACTTCTTACTTGAAGAAATTTAAGCCTTTTAAAATTCTTCATTTATTTGGATACACTGGGTCTTAGTTGCGGCAGGCAGAATCTTCCGTCTTCCTTGTGGCATGCAAACTCTTAGTTGTGGCATGTGAGATGTAGTTCCCCAATCAGGGATCAAACAAGGGTGCCCTGAATTGGGAGTGTGGAGTCCTAGCCACTAGTCCACCAGGGAAGTCCCTAGTTAAGCCTTTTTTTTAAAAGTGGTAACGTGCAGATTTGGGCATCAAGCATTATGACTTGGCTCCACCTTGCAGATAGTTATTTTATGGGGGGAATAAGGAACTTTCTTACATTTAGGACTTTTCCAGGTTAATATTATTAGTAGCCCAGTCATGCTGTGTTTCTCTCGTGTCAAGTCTATCAGGTGTTTGAAAGTGTGGCCAAGAAGTATGATGTGATGAATGATATGATGAGTCTTGGTATCCATCGAGTTTGGAAGGATTTGCTGCTCTGGAAGATGCGCCCGTTTCCTGGGACCCAGCTGCTGGATGTTGCTGGAGGCACAGGTAATGTCCAGTTTGGTCTCCTTGGGTAACACTGAGCTCCTTTTATAAAAACTAGTTTTTCTTGTTGTAATGAGCTAGCTCACCTTCCATTAGGCTGAACATGGTGATTGAAAATCAGTACACCTCTTAGAAAGATTTACTCTTTTCTTTTTTCTTTTTTTAGTCTTATTTATTTAGGCTGTGCTGGGTCTTCAGTGAAGCTCAGGCTTTTCTTGGATTGTAGCGCGCAGGGGCTGCTCTCTAGCTGTGGGCATGGACTTATCACTGTGGGGGCTTCTCTTGTCGCCGAGCACAGGCTCTGGGGGGCACAGACTTCACTAGTTGCAGCACGTGGGCTCAGCGGTTGCGGCTCCCTGGCTCCACAGCATGTGGGATCTTCCAGGATCAGGAAGTGAACTCTTGTCTGCTGCATTGGCAGGTAGCTTCCCTACAACTAAGCCACCAGGGAAGCCCTACTGAATGCCAATCAAAAACACGGAATATCAACTTTGTGCCTGTCATTTTTCTAAAATTCAGAGGATTACAAAGTAAACTAATCAGTTTTTTTCCTCCAGTGTCCCTTCCCCATCTAAACAACTATTTTTGCTTTCTGTTTAACCTTTAGCCCACTTGCCTTCTTTCTTTGCTGAGGAGGGGAGGGGCTTTTATCATGTAAGTTTTCAAGGCAGCCTTTTCTGCCTAATCTACTATCATATCAGATATCAAAACCTCTTTTATTGGGGAAAAAAACGCTTTTTATTTATGCATAGTCGTTTGTTTCTTGGTGCACACTAGGCATTTGGGGAGAAAAATGTCATGTAATGTAATAATGTAAGAATCTATACTGATAGAATAATATATAATAATAAATGGCAATAGAATAATGTCCATGTTTATGTTTGGCTTTATTGGTGTGGTCCTCTCCCCAGAAGGAAGCACAGAGGGCAGTGAGGTAGAGGACATTAGCAGAATCTATCAAAATCTAAAATGCTTTTTAGTCTAGGATCCCACAATTCCAATTCTAGACATTTAATCTGAAAAGAAAGAAAAAAAAAAACTTGCACAGAGATATGGCTACAGAAAAGTTTCAGTCAGAGCTGCCACCATCTCCAGTGCACCCCAGCCAGTAACATTACCACATGCCAACAACTGCCCATTTAGAAAATGCAATTAAAAAGTAAGCCCATATATTTAAAAAGACATTTAAAACATATAGTAACAAATATGCTCACACTGCATAATTTTTAGTAATAGTGAAAAGTTAGAAGTAACCTATTTCTACCTCAATGAAGAAATGACTTTAAGATACATCAATACTATATAGGTAGCTATTTAAAAGAATGAGAAAAGCCTATAAATACTGATGGAACAGTATCAAGGACATATTAAGTGGGAAGAAAAAGAAAAGTTATATACAATGGATATAATATAACCCTCATGTATTTAAGTTGTTTCATGTGAGTACATATAATTATATTTAAATTTATAGGAAAGTGACTGGAGAATACCTAATTGGATGGAGAAAATGGAAAAACCTAAGGCTGTATTTCTTACAAACAGTGTAAGAAGAAAACAAAGACAAGGAAACAGCATTATAAAAAGGGAAATATGAACCTGAAAGCACTGGCTTTGCCTAAACAGTATTTACAACATGGTCACAATAATGTAAACACTTGATTCTCTGCTTTTAAACTCAAACCATCAACAAAGCACAGAAACCTTAGAGCTATAGAACAAATACAATGTTATCAGGCTTGACAGAACATATATATGTATATATATATATATACACACACATATATACACACATATATATGTAAGCAAATATATATATGATGGAAGGTTGAAAGGAGTCAAGAGATACTATCTATAGTTGATGGAATAATAAAATAAGGGGGGAGAAAAAAATAAGGGGGGAGGGATAAACTTGGAATGGGATTAACAGATATATACTACTACATATAAAATAAGCAACAAGGACCTACTATATAGCACAAGGAACTGTATTCAATATCTTGTAATAAGCTATAATGGAAAAGACTCTGAAAATGAAAATATATGTATAACTGAGTCACCTTGCTATATACCTGAAATATTGTAAATCAACTGTACTTCTAATTTAAAAATAAAAATTAAAAAAAAGAAAGAGAATATATATTAGTTCATTACTCTAGGTTACAAAGGTATCTGCGAGGAACTATTAAAAGTGATATAAATATATTGGGAGGACAGAGGCAAGCAGAGATGGGGGTGGAATTGCTTTATAAATTTTGTGAGTAAAGAAATAGCTGTAACCAACAGAAGAAACCGCTAAAGGGATTGGGAAAGACGGTCTGTGAGGAACTGAACTGGCTATGGGAAGTGGTGGGGCAGTGAGCTGTTGTTGCTTGTGAGTGTGCCTTCATGTTACCATCACAAAAATTATTAGAAAAAGACTAGGAAGCAGTACACTCAGCTCTTCACACTTGTTGTATCTAGAGAGTGTGGACAGAGATGGCAGCTTTTGTGTTTTATTCTATATATTTAAGTTTTGAGGCTTTTAGAGTAAGAATGTGTCCATGCATTACATATGCAGTTTTTAAAGGTTTTTTATTTAAAGAATCTTAGCAGTTAAAAAAAATTGCTGTTAAAAAAGACATTAACTATTGAAATGAGTACAACCTTCGGTTTTCATACACTCCTCAACACCTGTACCTTTGTTACTCCTTTTGGGTTTAAGAAATGCTGCAGTTGTGTTTGTGTTTGATCTTTCCTCCTGTTGGCTTCCCACAGGTGACATTGCATTCCGGTTCCTTAATTATGTTCAGGCGCAGCATCAGAGAAAGCAGAAGAAGCAGTTAAGGGCCCAACAAAATTTATCCTGGGAAGAAATTGCCAGAAAGTACCAGAATGAAGAGGATTCCTTGGGTGGTTCTCGTGTCATGGTCTGTGACATCAACAAGGAAATGCTAAAGATTGGAAAACAGAAAGCCCATGCTCAAGGATACAAAGCTGGTAAGTCCTGCAGAAAGTGGACCTGGAGGAGATGTTTATAAGATGGAAGGTGTACAATGCTGAAGTGCTTTCTTTTCCAGATTTCAAAAACTTATAGATACATAGGAGTGGAAGATAATTTGTGTGGCCGAGCCCAGCATGTGTACTATTACCTACATTATTTCAGCAACCAGCTATGAGCCTCAAGTGACAGGGGAGACAACCCAGACCCAAAGAGGTTAAGTATCTTGTTCAAGTCATGCAGTTTAAATGGCAGATCCAAAATAGGGACTGACTCTTTGGGTCTCAGCTCTTGAACCCTGAGACAGAAGTTTGGCTTCCCATTTCCAGCAGCTCTCCGATGACCCCAATGCCCTATTCTTGAGCTGTTTCATCCCCTTTCCAAAACTAAGCTCTGCCTCAGCTTTCCAACCTGGCAGCACCCAGCCAGTGACTGAGGACAATGGGGCTCCCGGGCCTGAACATATGCCACGTGGGGCTCTCTTCACAGGCAGTCTTTGTTCCAGAGCCCCCTGTTGGGTTGGCTGGGGCTTTCTCAGATCTGCATCAAGGTCTTACGGCTCTTCTCACACATGCTTGCTTCCTCTTCTTTTTATTTTTTTCCAGGTGCCTCCCCTCACCCCCCAACCAACTCCCCACCAAAAAAAAACCCTTTGCCCTCCTACCTCTGTTTCAGCATGGGTTTCTCAGAGGGCACAACTGATGCAGTTGAAGAATCAGCCGTAAATGGTACTCTTCAAACTTCCCTCGCACGGTCCATTCTACAGCCAAGGGGGAAGGGACTGGGTATCTCCAGGCCGCTGCTGCAGCTCCCAAATAGAAGTTTCTGCTCTAGCTTCAAGATACACGTTTTATATTTGGCTTTCTCTTTTAATATTTTGAAATACTTTTGCCCCCAGTATTTTGCCCCAGCAGATGTACTGATCTGGCAGCTGCAGCAAATTTACCCGGCTTTTCAGAGCCACTGTACTGCCCTCTTCCACACTGGCCGAGTGCTGCAGGCAGCCCTGGTGAGAGGCAGTGGTACCCAACAAAGAATCCAAGGCCTTTGGGTCAACATCAGCACTTCTCTCCTCCCCCACCACCTCCCCACCACGAGTGTCTATGGTTATTTTAGCTCAATTCTTCCTCCTCCTACTTCCACCCCCAGAACGAGCTGCCTAGACGAACTTGGCCCCCCAGATGAAGGGCTCTTTTGTTAACCATCAACACTGATCAGAAGGCCAACAGTCACTAGTGTTTCTAGACAAAGGCACTGTGTTCTTACTCCTACTGAGAAACGTGTTTCCCTTCTCTCTGGTGCTCAGCCACGAAGAGTGGAGAACAAAGATGGGAATGATGGGTAACGTTCCACTTCTGGAATCATCTCTGCCATAGCATAGCTTGCCCTTCAGGCTCTCCTAACAGCCAAGACAGATCCACCTGTGTAAGAATCATTACGTGCTTCTTAGTTTGGTTTTATTTTTCCTCCTTGCTTTGAAAGTGAAATGAAAGTCACTCAGTCATGTCCAACTCTTTGCGACCCCATGGAGTCCTTGGAATTCTCCAGGCCAGAATACTGGAGTGGGTAGCCTTTCCCTTTTCCGGGGGATCTTCCCAACCCAGGAATTGAACCAGGGTCTCCTGCATTGCAGGCAGATTCTTTACCAGCTGAGTTACCAGGTACCAGTCTCCAATAATAGTACCTTTGCAACACATATCATGCCAAAATAAAGTTGAAACTAAGTAGAAGGATCCTAGAAATGATTTAACAGTTATAAAAGTTAATGTATAAAGGCATTTTTTTTATAAAGGCATTTTGTGTACCACTATTATGTGTTTTATTTACATGTAGCACTTCCTCCCAAAGTAGAAGCTTGGAGGGCAGAAACCATAAAAAGATTTGATGGGTTATAAAAGTGATATATTTGGGAAAATTTGGGATGTTAGAAATCAAACATTTGGGGAAAAAAAAGAAACATTTGAAAAAGTATGAAGAATATTAACCATAGTTCCAACATCCAGAGATGACCCTCAGTATTTTAGTATATTTCCTCCCTACCTTTTTCCCAATCATTTCCTTTTTATAATATTGACAACACCTTGGAGATACAACTTAGTATCCTGCTTTGTTTAATTCAGCATTGTATCATGAGATTTTTCCATTTTATTCAAAATTTCTGGGGACTTCCCTGGTGGTCCAGGGTTAAAACATTGCCTTCCAATGCAGGAGGTGGGAGTTCGATCCTTGGTCAGGGGGCTAAGATCCCTCATGCCCCTCACAGTCCAAAAAATCAAAGCATGAAACCAAATTCAGTAAAGAATTCAAGTGGTCCAGCGGTTAGGACTGTACGTTCTCACTGCGGAGGGCCTGTGGAGGGTAATGTGTGTAAAGTGACTACATAGACCTCGTCATCGTGGGCCTAGCAGGCAGTAGCTTTGATGACAATGTCATGAGTGTCTTCCTCCAAAAAGTCAAATGACTAGGTTAAAGGGCATGCTCATTGCTGAGGCTCTTGTTAAATACTGTTCGCGTGCTTCCCAGGAAGATTATTTCCATTTACCTTCCTCTGTGAAGCCTCCTTTCTGAATCATAAGTGACATGAAGTCGCTCAGTCGTGTCCGACTCTTTGCGACCCCAAGGACAGTAGCCTGCACCAGGCTCCTCCGTCCATGGGATTTTCTAGGCAAGAGTACTGGAGTGGGTTGCCATTTCCTTCTCCATTGAATCATACTTCGTGTCTGATTCACTGCAGGTTGAATAATATTGAAGCTGAATCAGGATTCTCAGAGGATATAGCTACCCTGATAGGGAGCTCCCTTGGGTGTTTTCTGAATTCATGACCAGACTTGGGGTCAGGACACTCTGCTTCTCTGTGAGTCCAGTAGAATGAATAACTATGCCTAATTATGTACTTAGAATAAATTCTAATGACTATCTGAAGTAGGTACTACTTATTATTGACTCCACTTTACACATGAGGAAACTGAGGCAACATAGTTTATCCAGGATTATATAGCTAGGGGCTTCCCTGGTGGCCCAGTGGTAAAGAATCTGCCTACCAGTGCAGAAGACACGGGTTTGATCCTTGGTACGGGAAGATCCCACATGCCGTGAAGCAGCTAAGCCCATGCACCACAACTACTCAGCCTGTGCTCTAAAGCCCGGGAGCTGCAGCTACTGAAACCATATACTGCAACTACTGAAGCCTGGGAGCCTAGAGTCTGCGCCCCGCAACAAGAGGAGCCACCACAATGAGAAGCCCGTGCACCACAGCTAGAGAGTAACCCCTGTTCTCTGCAACTAGAGAAAAGCCCACACAGCAAGAAAGACCCCGCGCAGCCAGAAATAAAAAGTAACTCTATTCAAAAACTTGTATTATTAAAAAAAAAAAAAGGTTATATAGCTAATAGTTGGGGAAGCTGGCATTAGAACCCAGGCAACACCAGGACCTGGGCTCTTAACCACAATGCTTTACACCTAGTTGGATAAAAATTGCTTAAGAGTAAGGCATAACTAAGTAACCAGTGTCTACCCTGAGAACCTTGGGGGAAACTTTCTTCTAAACTTCAAGGACACCAGAAACTTCAAGTGTTCAGGATTGAAGGACACCCTGAAGACGGTGGCCAGGAATCCACTGGAGAAGGCAGCTGTGTGTTTTCTGACACCGCTTCAGATACCGCACGTGTGATGCTCCCCCAGCACCATACAGTTCTCCAATTCTCCAGTGCCAGCCAGCTGTCCAACAATTCAATTCAGTTCTAACATTAATTACCAGAGTTAGCATCAGATTCCACAGGTTTAAGGGCTTATTGCCACAAGACTGCCCCCACTTCACAAGACAGCCACAAACAGGGTGTTCAGGGTACCCACACTTCTGTCCAGCTGACTACAAATTCAGGGGTTCCCACAACCCCCTTCCCAGGTTTGACAGTTCCCTGGGTGCAGAGGAGACAGCAGCCCAGGCTGAGGCCAGAACTGCTTTTCTCTTTCAGGACTTGCCTGGATATTGGGAGATGCAGAAGAACTGCCCTTCGACGATGACAAGTTTGATGTTTACACCATTGCCTTCGGGATCCGGAATGTCACACACATTGATCAGGTAACCAATGGCAGCCTCTGCTGGCGTGACCGGGATATTAGCTCTCCGGGGGTAGCTCCACAGTGAATGAGGAAAGGGAGAGATTCTGCTCCGGGCCCAGCTCCTCAGTTGAATGTTTCAGGCTGAGAGGTCTTAATTCTTTAAGCTGCCAATTTTCCTGCTCACAAAATTGAAAAAACTAAAACCACAGAGCAGATCTCCATAGAAGCCTTTGTTGCTTGAGTCGGTATTCACATCTTCGAGCCTGTCAGTCTTGCTCTCTCATGTCATCTGCTTCCTCTCTCTCCATGAAGCCTCCTGACTCAGAATTTGCAGATCAGAGCAATTCCCAAGGCTGACACAGGAAAAGGCACTCAGCCCCTATTTTGGCAGAAGGTGGCTAGATTCACAGATCTTCTGTTGGAAGAAGGGAATGTTCAGCCCTTAATTTGATGCAGCTCTTCTTTTATTTCTACTTGAACATTCTGTCCAAACATTTGAAGATAACAGACAAGGCCCCCAGTTTCATGTCTGTAACGTGGACTCCAGTTGCCTGGTTGCCTGCCTTGGGTGGGATGTCGTTTATGGGGTACTTTAATTTCATTTTTTCCCTGTGTCTATAGCCAGTTTATTATTCTTTTTAAATTAAAAAAAATAAATTTTAAAAAATCCAAAGCTCAAGCAGCACAAAAGGGATATATCACTAAAAAATCTTCATCCCTGTGCGCTAACCATTCAGTGCCTCCTCTTTCTGTGATCACCAATTTCTGAGTGGCGTATCTTTGCAAAGATGTCTTGTGCATATTAAGTGTATTCATTTCCTTTCTTTTTTTTTATACAAATATTAGCATATGAAACATTTTGCCCATTGCTTTTTTTTTCCCCTTAAAAATATACCTGCAAAAAATATATATCTATATCTGCAGACTTTTCCATGTCAGCACATAAAGAACTCTTGCTCTTCCTTTTTTAAATAGCTTCATTGATTCCATTTGTATACATATTCCCTAATATAACCAGTCTCTCATTGATGATTAAGATGCTTCTGCTCTTACGCTGTTCAAATCGTGCTGTAATGAATAACCCCACGTCATTTCCACAGTAGAAGCATTTCTGTAACATAGACTCTTTGAAGGAAAATTGCTGGGTCAAAGAGGGATATCCATCGTGATTTTGAGAAGTAATTCAAAAATTGCCCTCCCCCAATCTGAGTCAGTTTAGATTACTCCAGGTAACCTTCTCTAGTCATGGGCAGCGGAATGGCTAAAAGATTTAGGAGACTGTGGGTTTGTTCTGCTGTTACAGCTTTCCAGCTGAGATTGAACATGGGATCTATGGGAAACACTCTTTCTAACGCCCCCAGGAGTAGTGCGGCCTCAGCCTCCCAGAGATGAGTGAGGGCTGCTGAGGAGTGTGTCCTGTTCTTGTCTTGCTCAGGCACTACAGGAAGCCCATCGGGTCCTGAAACCAGGAGGAAGGTTTCTCTGTCTGGAGTTCAGCCAAGTAAACAATCCCCTTGTATCCAGGTTGGTATTGTTAACAGGGCTTGATTTTCACCATCCAGCCAAGGGTTTCCTATCCCCAAATGCATAGAAAATAACCAGTAGCTTTAAACACGAACCTCAAAGTCCCTGAGTCCCTGAGGGGCGGTGCCATCTCTGTGGTCAGCCAGTTCTGAATGACAACGCCTAGACCAGAAGAGTCTCAAACCGGTAACCAGAGACTCAAGTGGGCCTGCATGTGTATTTTGTTTGGCTCATGGTTATTTTAGAAAATTGACTTAGATGTCTGTATTTTAAAATTGAGAAATTTTACATAAAAATTTGGATTTCCAACTTCACTTGAGAAATCAGATATATGGCAACCCTGGTTAAGCCCATATTCCCACATGGCAATAATCAGAGCTGGGTAGTAGCTGCCCCTTCCCCACTTTTCTGGACCTTCCTAATTGTGCCTGTCACCACACCCTCAACTGGGTCACTTATTTCAGGTACTTGCTTGACCCCATAGGCATTTTTTGAGTTTATAATTCCAGGCGTAGACCTTCTGGCTCATTAACGGTCATGTTCTAATCTTAATCTTCTGCCTTTTTGTTTAGGCTCTATGATGTATATAGCTTCCAGGTCATTCCTGTCCTGGGAGAACTCATTGCAGGAGATTGGAAGTCCTACCAGTACCTTGTGGAGAGTATCCGGCAGTTCCCGTCTCAGGTACAGAAAGGTCCATAGCTTACCACCCAAGGCCCCACGGTGGAAATCCAGGTAACCTCTGCTGTTTCTTTCTTTGTGTTTTAGGAGGAATTCAAGGAGATGATAGAAGATGCAGGTTTTCAGAAGGTGACTTATGAAAATCTCACATCAGGCATTGTAGCCATTCATTCTGGTTTCAAACTGTAACTCCTTTACGATTCTGAAGCGTGAACCAGTCACATCCTGTCAGAAGTCTGGAGCTGGAGGATAATCTGGTTAGTGTGACCAGCAGCAGAACATCTCTGCTTAAGGCTGTGTGCCTTGGACCCATGTTCTGATGTGACCAATCTCAAAGTGAAAGAAACAAGTTCCTGTCACTTGATTGCAGCTTTCCTTAGGGGCTGCTTCAGGCCTTCTCCCAGTTATTTGTCTGTACTTTTGCTTAAGTCCTATTTTTTCTTGGCTGTGCAGAATGTGGTTAAGGTAAAACCAGCACTGAAACTCAGTTTTGAAGTGTATTTGTAGTTTCTCTGCCAGTGCTGCCTTCCAGAGGGATAATGAATCATTTGAATTCAATGATTATTTGAACCAGAAAACTTGCTAGCTGTACCCTTCAGCCTAGGACGAAGTCTGGGGCCAAAAGCCAAGGCCCAAAGTATAGGGCTAAGGATCACAACTAGAACTGTGCAGTTGAAAAACTAAATGAGTCTATAGTTTTCATGGATTTTGTCAGTTTCTTCTTAAGGGAGGTGAAAGAAATACACTTTCTTCATCATTCATTCAGTACTCTTCCACCAAAAGCCACTATTGTGTCCCCAGTGCCTGTCATGAAGAAAACAACTTGACAGATCCTTGTTGAAAGAATAAATGTACCAGCAGACTTCTGCTTTCACATCTAAAAAATTGAGAGCCTGTCAGAATACATTTGAAGAAAGATCTTATAGCCAAAAAAAGAAAGTTTGGTAACCATTAATATAGCCAAGCCCCCTCCAGTACTCAGCAGAGCTGGGCAGAGCTCATCTCCTTAATACAGTCCACTGTTTGATGTTAAAATCAAACCATAAATATTTTCAGTGTGGATGAAATTTAAGGGTTTTCTCTTTTGCAGGGGGGTAGGGGTGGGAGAAGGGCTGGTAAGAAATTACAGAAGTCAACCTAGGAGTTGCTGGCAGTTTAATTTCAGAGAGCTTGCTATTGTTGTTGTTGAGTCACTAAAGTTATGTCCAACCCTTGGTGACCCCGTGGACTCTAGCCCACCAGGCTCCTCTCTCCATGGGATTTCCCAGGCAAGAATACTGGGGTGGGTTGCCATTTCCTTCTCCAAGGACTCTTCCTGATGCAGGGATCGAAGCCCATCTGCAGCACTGGCAGGCAGACCCTTCACTGCTGAGCCACCAGGGAGGTCCCGCAGAGACCCCAGTTCAGGCCATCTGAAACGTCTTCAGATGTGACCCAGCACAGGAGGGGCCATGTATGTACCCTCACTGAGGCTGAAGCTGAAACTCCAGTACTGTGGCCACCTCATGCGAAGAGTTGACTCACTGGAAAAGACCCTGATGCTGGGAGGGATCGGGGGCAGGAGAAGGGGACGACAGAGGATGAGATGGCTGGATGGCATCACCGACTCAATGGGCATGAGTTTGAGTAAACTCCGGGAGTTGGTGATGGACAGGGAAGCCTGGCGTGCTGCAATTCATGGGGTCGCAAAGAGTCAGACACGACGGAGCGACTGAACTGACTGACTCACAAGATCTTGCCCTGTCATTGAAAAGCTTCCAGATACAGCTCTCTATATACAAGTGTCTCAAAGAACAGCACCTAAGAACTTTAGATAAAATGCTAAACCTTAGAAAAACTTTCAGCTTAGATTTTGTTTTCAGCCAGTTGGAGCCTTTGAAATGAACAAGGATCAGGCGCTGAAAAATTTTCACAGGCGATCAACCCAGTCCTATCTCAGTGGCAGTGATTCTTATATCTGAATCAAGAAATAAAAGCTGTCACTTCCCGGTGATATGGGCCAGGTCAAATTAGAACTCCCACTGTCCAGCTGTTTATGGCCTGAAAGCAGCCCTAGGCTTTTTGCTGGACTACTTCTAAGAAGAGCTAAAATCTACAAGATTGATGCAGCTTTGGAGGCCTAATACCTGTCGGGTTTCAAACAAATATGGCCAGATCACAAAAGTGGGAAAGAAGCTAGAAGATGAATTACAGGAACCCTTTCAGTCTGTTCACATAAATCCAAACCTAAATCACCCCAATTGCAGCCCCCTGTTCCACAGCACCTCCTTATCTTTTTCCTGCAGAAAGCAGGAAAAACTCTTCCATTTTTATTATACTAAAACAATTCTTTGCTTTCTACCCTGAAACTTTCCCAGTCCTAACATTGTTCAGCTTCATCAGAACTTCTAAAATCCCATGTTATCATTAAAAGGCTCCCAAAGATGTTACAGACTTAATTCCACTCTTAAGATGGAGTCATTGATCAATTCAGATCTATCACTTCCTCTGTGTAGCTGTAGCCTGGCTGCAAGGCCTAAAACAAAAACACTGAAAACAAAGGGAAAACGAAAACAAAGCCAGGACCTTCCTTGCAGCTTCCCAAGATGGTGTGGATTGTTTTAGCCTCTGGATCATTTCCATTATCTACAAAAGCTGTCTGCTGTACTTGCTTTTATTCAGAAATCTGTCTTCCTAAAACTGATAGCAGGAAAACTTTTACTTATCCATAACTTTAATTGGGCCTTTTAATGAAAGCTTCAGTTCACATGTGAACACAGCTAGTTAAAAGCACAGCACAGCAGGTTTCTAAGTTTAAATTCCTGCACTTTATTAGAATCACATGGAGGACTGCTGCTCAAAAGCTTCTTCCCTTTAAGCTCACCTTTAATCTCTAGAGTATACTTTGGCCAAGGCAGAGGAGGGTAAATGTCTAGAGCCCAACAAATTTCTCATTAGCCCAACTTTCTCACCAGCTTATTTCCATTTTACAGCCACAGAAAACTTAAAAGTTCTACAACACACCCATCATCTCTTGAGGCCTAAGGCCTAGAACACTCTATAGCAGTTATCACAAAAGGAGCACTTAAGGAATGTATTCATCAGGTTAGGAGTAAGAGTTAATCCAGTAGTTTCTCTGCCATGCATTTCTCAACATGCACTTCTGAGTAGTAGTCTTCCATGCACAACAGGAACAGGATGGGCAAGAATGAAACTCAAGAGTGCTGAATAGGCTAGTCTGTTACATCCCACAGAAACTTCAAGGAAACAGCCCCACCAACCCTACCCAAGATCAAGTAATAGGCCATCTTCAACAAATTATTTGAACAAACGGTAATTAACGCACACTTCAACAGATTTATTTCTTTAAAGGAATGGATTTTGAAGAGAAAAAACATGGGGCAGAGAAGTATGGAATAGAAAATAAATACAAATGTAAGCTGTTTTACTAATTGCTTTATAACCACAAACTAGTACAGAGAATGCCCTGTACAAAACACAATAAAGGTTCAAAGATGGAGGTGTTCCCTTAGGCAAGGCTGAAGACTTCAGTCTCTGGTATTTGGAATTTAGGCTGCAGTCCTTGTTTTTGGATGGATCACTGGGTGTGTGGCACAGTTCATGCTTTTAACCAGATTTGAACAGGAGAATGGCCACTTGGCCCAGGTAGAAGTAGATGAAGTGTTTGGTTTCATGTGTCACATAACTACCGAAGTTCCTCCCCACGATGCAGTGCCAGGTGGGGTTGTACTTCTTGTCAAACTCCTGGGGGGAGGAGGTGGAGAAAAAACAGAATTTTAGTGCTAAACCTGCAGTCAGAGTTTGCCTCCTAGATAAACAGAGCCTGTAGGAGCAGAAAGGAGGAACTTCGGCATCTGCAAATTCTTAGAATGAAAGAATGTTCCCCAGCTCCAAATCGCCTACATAGTGCATTAATGCAAACATACTTGCAGTCTGAGCTAAACTTGGAATGGGGGCTGGGGAGGTAAAAGTCAGAAAGGGCAGCCTCTGAGAGTGCTTTGTTATCATGGTAATTACACCTTCTAACTTCTATAATATTCAGGGACAGCAGGTGATATCAGTTAGTTTACCTTCTAGGTTTTATGTCTAAAAGAACTAAGCTATCCTACTGTATGACATGTACCCCCAAATCCAAGAGAATAGTATTTAGCCCAAAATACCACCACTGTAACTCATTTTAGTATTACTGAAAACAAAAGGTTTCGGAAAGAACAGAGCCTCAGTAAGCAGCTAAACCACTGGAGATCAAAATTTAAAGGACAAGACACTTTGCGCTCCACTGTCCCTGTAAAAAGAAAGCTGGAAGCAGAACCTGACAGCCACCTGAGCAAATTTTATCTTTACTGCCAACAGCCCTTCTTCCCACATCTATCCTGATGGTGCCAATCTACCCTACCACCTGGTCCTCAAGGCTAGCAAATGGCACTAACAACTTTCCCCTATTTTCCCCACCCCCAGAAGCTCTAGGAACTAGAATGCCTGTGTTAATTTCATCACTAGGCAGCTCTAGGTAGGGGTCAGCGCTAGTCTTTCTCTGTGATATCTTTCTCTATTTAAGTATTACGAGTCTCTGGCCAGTTAGGCGAAATTTGCCTACTACTGTATTGTACAGTGGGAAAGTCTTTCGGATTAAGGTAAACAACATTATAGACCAGACAAACGCACTGCTGTTGCTGCCTTTGTCAGAAAAGGTATTTATTTCTGTTCCATCTGAAATCTTTCATCTTCTCATTCTCGACTGGAACCCTCCCACGACTTAGGCTGCCAGTTTTCTTCCCTTCTAGAAAACACAGCTCGAGAAGTTGGCAGACCTACCAGCTTTCTACAGACTGCCATTTATCAATCCCCCAACCCAGTCCCCAACCACCACCACCACCCACTTTCCCTCAACTGCCGACTGACTCCCCACTGGAGGCTGGCAAGATCTCCCTCCGGCCTGCTGGAAACACCCACGCAGCTCCCCCCTCTCCAACACCCAGATGGATCCTGAGCGCAGCAATCATGCAGAAGGGGGAACCGCTGCTCCCTGATCCTAGAAACCGTTGCTAGGTGGCGCTTTCCCCGTGGAGCTGGGTTTAAAAAAAAAAAAAAACTTCGGGCGCTGAGGGGCCGATCTTCAAGAGAAGTGCAAAATTCATCTGCGTCCTTTTCTGGAAACCTCTACACCGCGCCACCTTGCGTGCCCCCAAGGATCGCTGCCAGCGCTCTGGGGACACATTATCGAGGGGAAGGAAGTTGTGACTCCCCCCAACAGTGCGCAAACTGCCCGAGCCCCCCGCCCGCGCCCCGTCCTCACCTTCTTGATATGGGCCGCAATGTCCTTCTCTATATTATACTTCTCCAATGCCTGAGTAGCACATTCCACCGAGTCCTGTTGCATCTCCTCCGACATATCGGCATTCTTGATTACGGCCTTTCGGTCACACATGGTTACCTGAAGAGCGAGGCCGAGGCAAAGGATGAGGAGTTGGGAGTATGGGCTGAGGCGCAGTTTCCCGGGTCCACTCCGCCCGCCCCCACGCCACCCCGGGACGACGCCCCCCACCCCACTCCTCAGGAAGCGCGGACCGCGCGAACAGAAGGCGGGAGAAGTCCTGCAGGGGACGAAGCTAGAGAGCGGAGCCCCCTGAGTTTCTCACCAAGGAGCAGGGGCTGGCCGACTGCAACGGTCTCCTGGGGGAGGGGCTGGCGAAGCTCACACCCGCGTAGAGAGGCGGTCGCTACCGAAGCCGTGGCGCATCTAAGGAGCCCCACGCCAGCCGCCGCCGCCTAGTACCTAAGCCCCGCCCTTCTCCCGGCGACCCCGCCCCCCGCCTAACGTCCCTATTGGCTTGACGCAGCCCTTAGAACTCTCCCATTGGCCCATAGACTCAATGGCTCCCTCAGGATCTTTCTCCTGCATTTTGTTGCAGACCACAATGCACCGCTCTCGGCGTCGGTTACCCCGGCAATGGGCCGCACGAGGTGAGGCCCAAAGATCGCGAAGATGGTGCAGGGGCGGGGTGGCGAGGACGTACCTGGGGCTAGAGAGATGCAAAGGGAGCTTCCTCCAGGGCCGAGAGAAATGATGATAAATTTTCGGAGGTTGTCTCAGGATGCATTCGCAGATAGTCTTTGAAAGTTGGGTATCCTACGTGCCCCCTCGCCCCCCCCAGGTCAGAAAGAACTACCCTTTCGACTGAGGTAGTCAGTTCCTTCACTAAAGGGTATCTCTTAAGCTGGGAAGGCTTCGTGGGGGTGATCGGTGCAGTCTCAGAAAAGAAGCCCTAGGGTTTGGTTTAATGCTCTGCTGTCTCACTGTTGAAATTCTTTTTTATTTTTTTTTAAACAAGGAAAGCCACATTTTTATATTGCATTGGACCATGCAAATTATGCAGCCGGACCGCCTCTGAAATATAGGGGGCGGGGGGTTGTCAGAGAGCCTCAAGAACGGAAGAGGGCTTCCTTATAAATTAAAGATTATTCCCAAGAGTGGGATCTCCCGGCTGGGCAATGCTGATCTCTGTTAAGGGGGTGGGGGACCCTCTGGGTGGATTTGGGAGTGCTGATGTGGGGTGTGACCAGGGTAGGGCTTCTTGCTCTGATGAGGTAGTCTTTTCCGGTGTGGGAGTTTCTTGGTGGCTATTTACCTCTAGGGCAGTAGTGCTCTAATGAATAGAAAGGCATCCCATCTGAGCCACCAGGGAAGCCTTTCTAATGAATAGAAAGGCATCCCTCAGAGGTATTTCCTCTGGTTTAGGGAGACTAACCACTGAGTGGTTTAAAAAAAAAAAAGGACTTGGGGTGGGGGATTGGGAGCAGGGTCAAGTCTGTCTTTAAATATTTAAATGTTAGCCCTGTCATCTTACTAGATTTTTGGACCTCGGGGTTTCTAATCTATAAAGGGACTAAATATAAAAGGAAACCACTACATAGGTATTTTGGGAGTATTAAATAAACTAGTGCATTTGAAGTTCTCTGCACATAGCAAGGGGTCGCAAAGAGTCAGACACAACTGAGCGACTTCACTTTTTTTTTTCCCCCCTGAATTAGTGAGAGTGGGTGGTCAAGTAGAAATAGGCAGAAATATAAACAGAAAGCTTTTGATTACATGGTTAAACTGGTAACTTGTTTATAGGCTTTCCTGGTGGCTCAGACGGGAAAGAATCCGCCTGCAATGCAGGAGACCGGGTTCAATCCCTGGGATGGGAAGATCCCCTGGAGAAGAGAATGGCTACCCACTCCAGTATTCTTGCCTGAGAATTCCATGGACAGAGGAACCTGGAGGGCTACAGTCCATAGGGTTACAAAGAGTCAGACATGACTGAGAGACTAACGCTTTTACGCTTTCGTTCAGTGCATTTGAAGTACTCTGCACATAGCCAGGGTGGAAGAATTTTGCCAATAACTGTCAACTTAGGAAACTGTCCCAAGAGGCATGACAAGGTTTTGAACAACTAACACTTCAGTGCCTATACTGTGTTTTTCAACTTCCATAAACAAGTTAACAGTTTAACCATGTAACCAAAAGCTTTCTGTTTATATTTCTGCCTATTTCTACTTGACCACCCACTCTCATTAATCCGGGGGGGAGGGGGAGAAAAGGGAAGTTGCTCAGTCGTGTCTGACTCTTTGCTACCCCATGGACTGTAGCCTGCAGGCTTCTCCATCCATTGGATTTTTCCAGGCAAGAATACTGGAATGGGTTGCTATTTCCTTCTCCAGGGGATCTTCCTGACCCAGGGATCAAACCTGGGTCTCTGGTACTGCAGGCAGACTCTTTAATATCTGAACCAGCAGGGAATCCAGAACCCTTTACAATTTGATCAAAGGCCCATAAGAGTCAAAGAAACAGGTGGGAATAATCAAAAACTCTGGTAGGACACATGCCTAACAATTAAATTAGGAGGCTTTCCCCAGTTTCAGGTTTCCAATGGTGGGGTTATTTATTTGAGGAGTTAATGTAGTTCTACCTTGTGTCACTCTTGAGGAAGAAGTTGAATTGGCAACAGGAGTGAGGCTGGGTTAGTGCTTCTACCTGACTTGGGTGTATGATTCAGAGCTATGGAATCTAACTATGATGGCAGAGCCTGAATCTCTCTTGGGGGCCTTTACTTTTCACAGATATAGTTTTACTCCCTGTGATCTATGGTTTGGCCAGCTTCTCCTTGTTTGAAGAGAAGGAGCTGAGAGTCGTTAAAGGGATGAGGTAAAACAGCAGCTGTGTATTGAGTGGTTGCCTTCCACCCAGTGCTTTCCTTTCACTCAGCTGTTCACAACAGCTGTGCCTAGGACCCCTTTGCTCCCATCTCCCTCTTGCCATGACTTCTGCTCATTTAGATTTGAGCAGGAGGAGGCTCAAATGCCTCCTTCCCTAGGGAGTCATCTCTACTTACCCTCTACCATCACATTCAGTTACTCTCTACTGAAATAACTTTATTATTTATTTCCTCTATGGTACTTGCCTCATTTATTCCTTCAGAATTAATTCATGTGAATTATCTCATGTATTTATTTGCTTGGTTATTATCTATCTGTCCCTGCCTGTCTTGTTCACTGCTACATCTTCAGCATCGAATTCAGCGTCTGCCACATGGCATGCATTGACTTAGATATTCATTGAATTAAACATACCAGGTCTTGGTTCTTGGTGATCTAGTGGCAAAGACTCTGTGCTCCCAGTGCAGGGGGCCCAGGTTCTATCCCTGGTCGGGGGACTAGATCCCGCATACTGCGACTAAAGATTCTAAGTGCCACAACTAAGACCCAGCACAGTCAAATAAATAAATATTTTTTTAAAAATACCAGGTCTTATTTCCCCATTTACAGATTAGAAAACTGACTTTCATTAAAAGCTCAGGCTGTTAATTAATGAATAAATTCCAGGTCTGGATGACCCTAAAATCCTTTCTCTTAACTTCAGTATTACTCTAATACATTTAGCTAAGGAGCTAAGGAGACAGTGTGCATTTTTCTTACAGTTTGAAGAAAAGGAGATTGAAATGGGATGATATTAAGGTTTTCTAACAGATAAGAGGATTTGTTCAATAAATGCCTGTAGGTTTTTTCCCATTTATAGCGCCTGCCTTCCCCAGAGTCTCCTGTATTTTTTGCCCCTCTCAACCAGCTCTTGACCCTAATTATTTCCTTTGTAATTGAAGGAAGAGCACTGTCAGACACTCATGCTTTTCTGGCCTGTGTTTAACTCCAAGAGATCTTTTGGGGGTTATTGTTTCTAGGAACCAACTGCCTTTTTCATTCCTTTACCATTTATTTTTGCAAAATCATTGCTCATTTACTATCTGCTTATAGGATATTTATTGAGGGAGACAATAAATATCTCCTAGTTGTAAATGAAATGTACTGTGCAGGATTTGGATGCTTGAAATATTCACCCAAAGTAAGTTACAGCCCCATCCTCGAGTTTTTGGTTCACAATAAGCTAATCTTTCCAACAGGTAACATTGAATGAGCTGAGGGAGGAGGTAGGATAGGGAGTGGAGGGGGCTGTGGCAAACAGAAAAACCTGTTTGAAGGCGCCAAGCAAAAATAAATAAATAAATAAAGGTGCCAAGCAGGGAATTCCCTGGTGGTCCAGCAGTTAGGACTTTGTACTTCCACTGAAGGGGGCATGAATTCAATCTCTGGTAGGGGATCCTGAAAGCAGTGGGGCCAAAAAAATAAAGGTGCCATGTTGCCACTTGGGAATATTGACCCAGTTTTGCTAAATCATCTGATTTTCAAGAGACCAGAAATTGGAATTATTTTTATTGTAAATACCATCATTTTCAAATATTGGTCACAAATTCATTTCTTAAAACGCAGTGCAGGACTTCCCTGGTGGCACAGAGGATAAGAACCTGCCTGCCAATGCAGGAGCCACAGGTACAATACCTGGTCCAGGAAGATCCCACGTGCCTCAGAGCAACTAAGCCCATGCACCACAACTGGTGACCCTGCGCTCTAGGGCCCATAAGCCACAACTAATGAGCCTCTGTGCCCCCAGGCTTCAACAGGACCTGAACTGGGAACTTCCAGATGTTCAAGCTGGATTTAGAAGGCAGAGGAACCAGAGATCAAATTGCCAATATCTGTTGGATCATAAAAAAACCAAGAGTTCCAGAAAAACATCTGCGTTATTGACTATGTCAAAGCCTTTGACTGTGTGGATCACAACAAATTGTGGAAAATTCTTCAAGAGATGGGAATACCAGACCACCTTACCTGCCTCCTGAGAAATCTGTATGCAGCTCAAGAAGCAACAGTTAGAACCGGACGTGGAAAAACGGACTAGTTTCAAATCAGGAAAGGAGTATGTCAAGGTTGTATATTGTCACCCTGCTTATTTAACTTATATGCAGAGTACATCATGCGAAATGCTGGGCTGGATGAAGCACAGCCTGGAATTAAGATTGCCAGGAAAAATATCAATAACCTCAGATACGCAGA